GGATCCCAGCCACCCTGCACCTGAGCCTGAAGAGACATCTGGAAGACTGGTTAACATGCAGTCTGCTGAACCACACTCCTGGACTTTCCCCTTCGGTAGCTCTGGCTGGGGCCCAGGGATTTACACTGCTAGCACATTCCCAGGTGTTGCTGAGGCTGTGGACCACACACGGAGAGTCCCTGGCCTAGATTATTCTGCCCCCTGAGAACACTCTTGATAGAACCCTTTCCTCCTCCCCATGCACTCTTCCAATTCAGAAACAAAGCTCTGTGAAAGCATTGCTTGAACTGAGGATCTCATGGGATCAATCAACCAGCCCGTCTTTCAGGAGGCCTCCGCAACTTCTCAGCACTGTGCTCAGAGCTGTGGGCTTGCAAGACAGAACCCCAGCCTTTCCTAAGGAGCCTCTCGGGGCCACTAACTGAGCCGCTGTCTATCCTCACCCCTTTGTTAACAAAATAGCTTTTCTAGGGCCGGCACTGTGGCATAGTAGGCAAAGCCTCCACCTGCAGTACTGGTATCCCATATGGGCACCGGTTCATATCCTAGTTGCTCCTCTTTTTTTTTTTTTTGGACAGGCAGAGTTAGACAGTGAGAGAGAGACAGAGAGAGAGAGACAGAGACAGAGAGAAAGGTCTTCCTTTCATTGGTTCACCCCCCAAATGGCCACTGTGGCCGGTGTGCAACGCCGATCTGAAGCCAGGAGCCAGGATCTTCCTACTGGTCTCCCATGCGGGTGCAGGGCCCAAGCACTTGGGCCATCCTCCACTGCCTTCCCGGGCCACAGCAGCAGAGAGCTGGACTGGAAGAGGAGCAACTGGGACAGAATCCAGCGCCCCAACCAGGACTAGAACCCCGGGGTGCCGGCACCGCTGGCGGAAGATTAGCCAAGTGAGCCGCGGCGCCGGCCAAGTTGCTCCTCTTCTTATCCATCTCTCTGCTGTGGCCTGGGAAAGCAGTAGAAGATAGCCCAAGTGCTTGGGCCCCTGTACCTATGTTGGAAACCTGGAAGAAGATCCTGGCTCCTGGCTGAAGCCCAGCTCCAGTCATTGTGGCCATTTGGGGAGCAAACCAATAAATAGAAGACCTTTCTCTCTGTCTCTCAAATAAATAAAATCTTTTAAAAAAATAAAATATGTTTTTTTCTAAGCAAAGGAGTGTTACTAAACAGGCATAAATGTCATGCGTTTGCTAAAACTTTCTTTGTAGATGTTTGTAAAGTGGTGTGTCTCCCCAGGCCAATTTGTCCATTCACTTCAGAAATATGGATGTCAACAGAATATACATACAGAGGGAAGGAAAATCAGAACAAGCTGAGGAGCAGCACTGTGGCACAGTGGGTTAAGCCTCTGTCTGCTGTTCCAGCATTCCATATGGGTGCCAGTTCGAGTCCCAGCTGCTCCTCTTCTGACCCAGCTCCCTGTTAATGCACCTGGGAAAGCAGTGGAAGATGCTTGGGTCCCTGCACCCATGTGGGAGACCCAGAAGAATAACCTGGCTCCTGACTTCAGATCTGGCCATTATAACCATTTGGGGAATGAAGATCAAATGGAAGATCTCTCTGTCTCCCTCACTCTTTTGGTAACTCTGCCTTTCAAATAAATAAATAAATCTTTAAACACACACACACACACACACACACACACACACAAGCAGAGCGATGCCAGCAAAGAAAGCCAGGGTAAAGTTAGTACCCAGAGATGAAACCATACAGCAAACTCACAGAAGGAAACACAGTAGGCTCTGAGATTTACAGTTTCTTGGGAGCTCTTGGACACACTGAAATCCTAAAGCCGTTTCCATCAACAAAAGGCGTTCTGCCTGCTGTAGCCTACAGTGGCTGCACAACATCCTGGAGTGAAACACCCAAGTGCTGCACAGAGCATTTAGCAGAGCAGCCCTCAAAGCCCACTGTGGGCTCTAATATTCTACAAAATACAGACCCTTAAGAGAGCTACATGTCAAGGCAGAAGCCTGGCCTGCAGCAGCTTTGCAATAAATATTTGAAGAGTGAGAACACTTTTAGCAGTTTAGCTCTTCGCTCTACTTTGCCGTGAAGTGCATCGAGATGCAGAACTACGATGGCACTTCTTCCCAACACCCTGTAATTCTGACACTTCTACCACTGCCTCTCCTGTCAGCTGAAGCTGCTAACTTGAATTTAATCTTCAAATGCTTGAATGCTATTATTAAAGTATTAGGGTGAAAGTCATCACACATTCTCTTTACAAAAAAAAAGTGCGGTTTTTCTCAAAAGATCATTGTTAAGAGATTTCTCATTAAGCCTGCTTCTCATCAAGTAATCTATTCATTAATATTGGTGTGTAATACCCTCTATTCTGACATTTTTCAGGATTATTTGTAGCACGATGAAAACCACTGCGACCAAGTATCAGAAGCTGAGATCCAAAGTCTGACCTGTAACTCAGGGCCTGTGTGGCTCATCTTATCCTAACCTTGATTATCTCATTTGCTAACTGGGAGAGGAGATAACTTACCATGTAAACGTTCTTGTTCATTAAAAAAGGAGGAACCAATGCCAGTTCTTACAATAATGAATTAAAGTTGTAATCATGGGGCCAGCGCTGTGGTACAGTAGGTTAATCCTCTGCCTGCAGCGCTGGCATATCATATGGGTGCAGGTTCAAGTCCTAGCTGCTCCACTTCTGATCCAGCTCTCTTCCACGACATGGGAAAGCACTGGAAGATGGCCCAAATGGTTGGGCCCCTGCTCCCAAATGGGAGACCTGGAAGAAGCTCCTGCCTCCTGGCTTTGGATCAGCCCAGCTCTGGGGAGTAAACCAGCAGAAGAAAGACCTCTCTCTCTCTCTGTGACTCTGCCCCTCATAAAATAAATAAATCTTTAAAAAATAAAGTTAAGGCCGGCGCCGCGGCTCAATAGGTTAATCCTCCACCTTGTGGCACCGGCACACCGGGTTCTAGTCCCGGTCGGGGCGCCGGATTCTATCCCGGTATCCCCTCTTCCAGGCCAGCTCTCTGCTGTGGCCCAGGAGTGCAGTGAAGGATGGCCCAAGTCCTTGGGCCCTGCACTCCGTGGGAGACCAGGAGAAGCACCTGGCTCCTGGCTCCTGCCATCGGATCAGCGCGGTGCACCGGCCGCAGCGCGGCCGGCCACTGCGGCCATTGGAGGGTGAACCAACGGCAAAAGGAAGACCTTTCTCTCTGTCTCTCTCTCTCTCTCACTGTCCACTCTGCCTGTCAAAAAATAAAAATAAAATAAAATAAAATAAAGTTAAAATTATGGTACTAATGGTCATTGACTTGTTTTCTTCTAGGAGTGCCATGCATTTCCACCTGTGGCCACTAAGGCTGTGGACAGAAACAGGGGTAACAGATACCCACCCACCAGCACAGTGGAAGAACAGGGGTGCTTCATCAACACCCAGCCACACTTGCTCAGATCCAGAGGGTGAACTCACCAAACACATTTACACTGTGTGGACCATGGGGACCAAGTGGTTATCAGAAACCATACTGCAAAGAAAACAGCACTAGAGAGCAAAAAGAGATGAGAACAAAGAATGAGTTGAAATGGGAAAACAGAAGAGATAGTCTGAAGAAAATTCTGGAAGTGGCAAGCCCATACACACAGCGAGGCTTAGTACTCCTCACAGTTCATTTGCTGCTGTTTAAAGGGCAGGAGCAGCTTACATGGGTCCTCACCCAGTAGACCTTCCAGCTGGAGGCTTGTGCCTCCCAGTCCGCCATGGGACAAAAACTACTAGCCCAGTGCAGGTGTCAAACATGGCTTCACCAAACAGGCTTTCTCACTGAGTCTCTTGCCTTCAGGGTTAAGGGATGTGTTGCTGGTAGTAGTTAATGTGCTAAGGTTTTCAGATACCTTATTAATATGCATGATTTACCTTTGTATGTAAACTTGAACTGAGCTGACTGTGTCCCTATGACAACTCTTCTATCACTCACTAATATTCCAGTGGTTCTCTTCTGAATTCAAAAGACTAATGAGGTAAGAGCCAGTGGTCTGGGGCTGGCGCTGTGGTGCAGCGGGTTAACACCCTGGCCTGAAGCAACCCATATGGGCGCCAGTTCGACACCCAGCTGCTCCACTTCCAATCCAGCTCTCTGCTAGGGCCTGGGAAAGCAGTAGAAGATGGCCCAAGTCCTTGGGCTCCTGTACCCACGTGGGAGACCCGGAAGAAGCTCCTGGCTCCTGGCTTCAGATCAGCCCAGCTCTGGTCAATTGGGGAGTTAACCAGTGGATGGAAGACCCCTCTCTCTGACTTTCAAATAAATAAATAAATCTTTTTTTAAAAAAAGGAGCCAGTGGTCTGATGTGACACATAATCTTAGGACAAACCATGGGATTATGGCATAGGACACTAGGCATCACCAAGCATAGAGAGAACCAAACACACTGGAAACAACTCAGAGATGGAATGGAATAGCTGTGGAAGGCCCACCGTATGTTTCAGGGGGTTGGGGAGGTCACCAGGGCCCCTCAGCTCAATATTCACCAAGGCCAAAGGCAGCTCCAGGTCATTGGAGTGGATGCTCCCCAGCCCTGGGCTAACATGCCCTCTCGGTGCCAATCTTTTTTGTTTGTTTGTTTTTTGTTTTGACAGGCAGAGTGGACAGTGAGAGAGAGAGACAGGGAGAAAGGTCTTCCTTTGCCGTTGGTTCACCCTCCAATGGCCGGCGCACCGCGCTGATCCGAAGGCAGGAGCCAGGTGCTTTTCCTGGTCTCCCATGCAGGTGCAGGGCCCAAGCACTGCACTCCCGGGCCACAGCAGAGAGCTGGACTGGAAGAGGGGCAACCGGGACAGAATCCGGCACCCTGACCGGGACTAGAACCTGGTGTGCCGGCGCCGCAAGGCGGAGAATTAGCCAGCTTATCTTTTAATTCTACTTTTCCATGAACTTTTTGAAGTACCCTCTTGGGTAAGCATTGAAGTTTGGAAATAATCGCCTGAATAATCAGAAACAGAAATGGGTACACACACAGCTAGGGGAGGGAAGGAACATTTTCACTCTTCATTTTATTTTATATTCTGTGGCACAAAGAATTCATGGTCCTGGGAGAGAATGGCTAGCATAGTGACCTCAGAGTATTTTTACCACCTGTGAAACAGATCAAACAGTTTCAGAATTGTGCTCCTGGCTAAAGAAGTTAGGGAGAAAACCTAAGACCCAGATAGCTATCTCTCACCACAGGGAAGGTGTGCACAGGCTCATTTCCATAGGAAATGGCTCCACTTAAGCCAGCATGTTGTCCTGAGGGACTGCAGCCTCCATTCCCTGGGCTTTCTGATCTGAGGACGTCTGACACAGCAACATCTGGAAGACAACCGAAAAAAACACATTCCTAGGTCAACTATGATTTCTGTTTAGACTGTTGCCATCTGGGCTGTATGGTCCCCTTTAATTAGTACTAACACTAATTTAATAATCAAAAACTAGCAATATTTTCAAAGGTCTTAGACTTGTTTTCCTCAAGAGAGAATTAAAACCACCCATTGCTGATTGGAAAATGAAAGAAATGAACTTCTAATCAAGATTTTTTTTCTGAAAGGCCATAGGAAAATAAGTCATTCATGGGGCATTTCCCAGGTATCCTAGCCTAGCTTTTTTCCATATACTTCTAGAGTCCCTCACTATCTGATGAGAATTTTGTACTTTCCATCTGTCCACCCCTAGGAGGCTTTTCCAGTACCCAGACTGGGTGAAGGGACCCTCTTCTGTGCTCACCTCCACACTCTGCATGCTCTAATTTCAAATCTCAGGGCCCACTCAGCACAGACGTGGCACATGTAGAAAACAAATGGTGGGGTCGGCGCTGTGGCATAGTGGGTGAAGCCACCACCTGCAGTGCCGGCATCCCATATGGGCACCAGTTCAAGACCTGGCTGCTCCGTTTCCAATCCGGCCCTCTGCTCATCCCTTTCTGAAGATCTATGTTTTGAATTAGCAGCAGACAAAAAAGCAACAGGACAAAAAAAACTTCACCTTTTTGCTCAACCTGTGAGGATATTACAACCCCTAAAATACCACCGTGTAACTTCGTGCCCAACAGAATGGCAGTAAGCAAAATGAAGTTAACAATAAGCATTGCTAAAGACATGGAGAAATTGAATCCCTGTACATCACTGGCAGTAACATAGAATAGTGCAGCCACTGTGGAATTCACTGGGAAGTTCTGCAAAACTTTAAACAAAAAAGCACCATATGATTCAACAATTCCATTTCTAAATATATACCCAAGAGAACTGAAAACAGGTGTTCAAAAAAAATCTTGTACACAAGTGTTCGTAGCAGCACTATTCATGATAATCAAAACATGGAAGCAACCCGAATATCTATTAACAAATGAATGGATAAACAAATGTGGTATCCCCATACAGTGGAATATTATTTGGTCATAAAAAAGGTATATAGTTGTGATATATAACATGACAAGAGCACATAACACAATGGCTACATTCCTATGAAATACTCATAATGGGTAAATCTATACATACAGGAAGACTACTTGTAGCTTAAGCTGGAAGAGAATGGAAGTCTGGTTAGGTGACAGCTAAAAGATAAGGAGTTTCCCTACCTGCTGATAAAAATGTCCAATGATTGACTATGGTGCTGGTTACACATATCTGTGAATATACTATAAACCATTGACTCACACATTTTAAATGAGTGAATTGTATGATATGCAAATTATACCACAACAAAGTTTTTTTAATAAATCTACCATGTGGCATGAAGGAAAACACTGAGGGGTTGGAATTGTTCTAGATCCTGCTTGTGGTGGTAGTTACAAGACTCTGAATGTTTGAAAATCCCCACAAAGTGAATTTTACTGTATGGGAAAAGCACAATACAATAGAAAGTTCACCACGTGCAGCCTTAGTTGGAATCATAAGTGGGAATCCATGCTCAGCTTCAATAGAGGCTGTCCCAGCTAATTAGAAGTTCCTGTATGTGTGCAAAGGGAGCACTCAGTCCCATGGGCCCAAGTCTGACTGTAATCCTACCTAATCTGCATTGTGCAGATGAAATCCAGTTAAATAAAAAAGCCATATCAGAGAGATTTTCCACCCATGCAATCCTACCTCTACATCACACTTAAAGCAGAGTGGCTGATTCAGCAGTCCAAGTCTTCACCCCAGCCCAGGTGATTGTTCTGAATTCTCCATTTGACATGGGCCGGATATTGAACTTGGTCTTCCCTCTGCAGGAGTAATCAATAAAGTTGACAAAGAGTTTATACAACTCTCCAACTCCAAGCATTCAAAAGATGCCCCAGGACTTGCAAATATGTAACACTGTGAGATGACACATATCAGGAACCCTGCTTTGTAGCTTTGGTCAGGGGTGAATGTGTTTCAAGAGCAGCAAATACGGAAATGGTCACCAAGAGAGGGTTAAAGAAAAAGTTGTCCAGTATCATAGGTCCCAAGGAAAAATCACAAAACTCCCAAGACATCTGCTATCAAAAGTCTGAGAATTTTCCCAAACTGGAGAAGGTCCTGGAACAGAAGCAGGAGCAAGAAACCTTTTGCATTCAGAGGGTCCTGCTCTGGGGGTGGTCTGGGGACATACCCGAGAACCCAACAAATTTTAAGGCTGTCACTAACCACATGTAAATAACGCGACGCTGGTTAGATATTCTCTGTAATTAAGGTCTTCCTACAGCCCGGTGTTCAGAGCGCACGCAAGCCGTGTGGGTTCCAGTTGGGTGGGCTCCCTATACAGCAGTTTGTATTTCACAGTGGGATTTAGTGTTAGGTAAAGGGACACTTTAAAAATAATAGTAAAATGTGGACCCTCCACACTAATATGAACACATACTCTTGAGTGGCAGATCCCTCAGGGAAGCCTTGTCAAAGCCGTGCCTGTGATCTGTTCCCTTTTACTTTCCTGATCCCGGCTCCCTTAGAACCATCACCAAGCCCTGAAGCTCCCTAGTCCTCCACTATAGCCTGTCCTGGGAGGGAGGGACCAACATCTTTGCTGCCCAATCGTCTTGGTCTGTAGCCACTCTTCCTCATTTGATTGAACCAACCACACATGTCCTCCCACTTCGGAGGCTAATTTAAAAGACTGGAGTCCCAGAAGTCTGTATTAATATGAATTCTGTGAAATGTTCATGTGACTTTCTCCATGTGAGGGAACACTTTCCTGGCTCTCACTGCAGCAGCATCCCAACCATGGGGACAGCATGAGGACTGAGGGAGCATGAACCGGTCTTTGCTACAACATGTTGAGATCTTTCATCTGAGTTGACAGTGAGAGTTAACAGAAAACCAGGCCCAGTAGACAGTCCTTTCACAACACACAAGTTCTCAAGCTGGGATGCTCTACTGCTGGAGTTGGCAACACCTCCCCAGGGATCCTACACAACGGCTCTCTGTTAACTTCCTTTAGCAACTCTGGGCTCTAGCTTCCTCATCTCTAAACCAAGGGAGGGCTGGAAGGAATTAACCAGCTCATCATTATCATCCCTTCCAGATGTGAGACTCTGCAACCCGTTCACAGCGGCTAGGCAAGCCTCAAGTCCTATTCAAAGAAACACCTTCTGGGCCGGCACTGCGGCTCACTAGGCTAATCCTCCGCCTTGAGCCGGCACACTGGGTTCTAGTCCCGGTCGGGGTGCCGGATTCTGTCCTGGTTGCCCCTCTTCCAGGCCAGCTCTCTGCTGTGGCCCGGGAGTGCAGTGGAGGATGGCCCAGGTGCTTGGGCCCTGCACCCCATGGGAGACCAGGAGAAGCACCTGGCTCCTGGCTTCAGATCAGCATGGTGCGCTGGCCACGGCGGCCATTGGAGGATGAACCAATGACAAAGGAAACCTTTCTCTCTGTCTCTCTCTCTCACTGTCCACTCTGCCTGTCAAAAAAATAAAAAATAAATAAAAAAAAGAAACACCTTCTGAGTCCTTTCCATCCTCGACTCAAGCTCCAGCCGCTGTTGCTCTCACTGAAGAGTGCTGAGCACCACATGCCTGAACTTAGAAGGTGCTAGAATACACAGTATCCAGAGGCATGAAATTTCCTGAGAACAGCCTCTGTTCTCAGGGTCAGCAGGGACGAGGTACAGCAGCATATAATGGAAAGACTTAAACACAGAGATGCTTATTCTGTTCCATAAGCCAGGTCTGTGGGAAGGCAGTCTGTGATTGATGTGAGGTCTATAAGAACTAAGTGTACATCCTTCTCCTTTCTGTTCCACCAGCCTCAGTGCACGGATTGTACATTGATGGTCCAGGATGACCACCAAAGCTCCAGATGCCATGTTCACATTCCAGGAAGCAGGAAACAGAGGTCAAACAAGAGGGACATAGGCACATTTCTAGGTTGAACAGTTTCTCTTTAACAGAGCCTTCCTGAAGAAGCTTACCAAGGTTGCATTTTTTTTTATATTTGAAAGGCAGTTGCAGAGAGAGGGAGAGACAGAGAGAGAGAGAGAAATCCTCCATCTGGTTCACTCCCCAAATGGCCACAATAGGCAAGGCTGGGCCAGACATAAGCCAGGAGCTTTTTCTGGGTCTCTCATGTGGATGCATAGGCCCAAGCATTTGGGCCATCTCCTGCTGATTTCCCAGGCACATTAGCAGGGAGCTGGATCAGAAATGGAGTGGCCTCAAACCGGCACCCATATGGGATGCCAGCATGGCAGGTGGCAGCTTTACCCACCATGACACAATGCCAGCCCCCAAGGTTGCATTTAGGTTCCAGTGCTAAGAATATAGTTGCAAGGGTACACATAGGAGCAGCCTTGGAAGAAAAGCTAAGCAATGTAGTTTTTAACTGGGCACATCGCTGCCCCCTGTGACAGGGGCTCTGTCGATGAAGTTGCATGGACAGCCTGCAGTGGCAGCCAGACCACTCTGATATGTGCCGGAGTACCCTGTGCTGTCCCTGTGAGAAGCTTGTTAAATGCTGCTGATTTGATCTGATTGTCAGCAAGCAGGTAACCTGACCCAGAAGAGGCTTCGCTCTGCTTACATAAACAAGCATCCTCCGGTCTGGGCGTCAGGACAGGAGCGAGGCGCGTAACCATGGTGCTCCTAGTCTTTGTGAATTAGCAATCAGCCAAAAATGTTGATGTTTTCTCTTGGAAACCAGAGCTTTATGTGAAAATGAAAACAAAGTTATTTCCATTTTCTGAACCGCCAAGACTTCTCTGATTAAAGATGAAAAACCCCTGTCACAATCTGTTCTCAGATCCATCCACGGTTCTCCCACCCACTGATTTACACAGACTGAATGGGAAGTAGCTTCCGCTGAAGGGGTGGAAGGTCAAGTGCACTGGGATGCCCAAGCTTGCCACCAACCCATTCTATCCTAAGGGGATGTCCCACATACATAATCCCTCAGGAAAGAAAGATCATTCATGGACACACTCTACTTGTGAGTCCCTCTGTTTGTACAAATTTCCTAGTCCTTAAGGCAATGGAAATGAGATGCAAAGTGAATTAAGTGATTTGCCTTGTTCTAGAAGCAGAGACAGGACTAAAATTTGAGTCCCAGCTCCCAGCCCATTGCTCAAACCAACACCTCGGGAAAAAAATCTACCAGGAGAACCAAATGTTTGAAATTCTGAAACACATCTAAATAAATTTAGTTATCCAGGTAAGAGTTTGGTTCATGATTTAATTTTGCCTAGGCCTCTGAAGTCATCAGTAGTTTTAATTCAATCATTGTTTATTAAATGTTTATCCAGTAGTCAGTAATGTGTTACGAAGAGAATACAAAAGGAGTATAAGATATGCCCTGATAATGTTGCTGCTGTTAAAAGCTATAACCAGGGCCAGCACTCAGTGCTCAGTGTCCAAGATGGCTCATTATGTTACAGGGGAGTTACATGGAGTCCATAGGAAGTCCAGGGTCACGATCTCACCTGTTTGGGCCCAAGTGCAACATCAGAGAGGCCTAGTATGGACATGTGCATCCTGCAAAAAACAAAAAGTACAAATCAAACTGTATATTTTGGGGGTGGAGCTGTGGTGTTAGTAAGCTAAGCCTCCCAGCATCCCATATAGGAGCCAGTTCGTGTCCCAGCTGCTCCACTTCCAATCCAGTTCTCTGCTTATGGCCTGGGAAAGCAGTAGAAGATGGTCCAACTCCTTGGGCCCCTATACCCGCATGGGAGACCCGGAAGAAGCTCCTGGTTCCTAGCTTTGGATTGGTCCAGCTCCAGTCATTGTGGCCACTTGAGGAGTGAACCAGTGGATGAAAGATCTTTCTCTGTCTCTTCCTCTCTCTATCTGTAATTCTACCACTCAAATAAATAAATAAAATCTTTTTTTAAAAACTGCATATTTCTACCTCTTCCCTCTTATAGTCATTGAGATTGGAAAATTCTGAAAAACTCAGTTTAAAACCTATGTAAAAAGAAAAAAAAACACTTGGGCCAGAGCTGTGGTACAGTGGGTTAAAGCCACGTCCTTCAGCACCTGCATCCCATATGGGCATTGGTTCAAGTCCTAGTTGCTCCATTTCCAATCCAGCTCTCAGTTATGGCCTGGCAAAGCAGCAAAAGATGATCCAAGTACTTGGGCCCCTGTACCTGTGTGGGATACATGTAAGAAGCTCTTGGCTCCTGACTTCAGCCTGGCCCAACCCTAGTCATTGTGGCCATTTGGGGCATAAACCAGAAGATGGAAGAGCTCGCTCGCTCTCTCTCTCTCTCTCTCTCTCTGTAACTCTTTCAAATAAATAAATAAAGCTTTAAAAAAAAAAAACCTTACAGTAACTTTACCACTGTGGCTTTTATTCCTGTCAAAAGCCATGGCATTAAGATACACAAAGCTAAAATACTCATTTATGCCTATGAAATATGCTAGGCCTGTGTTATGGTTTGAATATACGTATCCCTCCAAAAGTCACATGAGGGTACTTCAAAATGCTCATGAAAAGTAGAATTAAAAGATAAGTATATCTTGGTGAAAAAAAAAAAAAAGGAAATCCATGCACACAGAGGTCTTCAAAAAAGTTCATGGAAGGGGACTGTGCTATGATGGGCTAGGCTAAGCCTCTGCCTGCAACACCAGCATCCTGGTTCATATCCTGACTGCTCCTCTTCCAATCTGTCTCTCTGCTATGGTCTGGGAAAGCAGCAGAAGATGATCCCAGTGCTTGGGCCCCTGTACCTGCATGGAGACCTAGAAGAAGCTCCTGGCTGCTGGCTGACCAGCTCCAGACGTTGCACCCATTTGGGGAGTGAACCTGCAGATAGAAGATCTTTCCCTCTGCCTCTCCTTCTCTCTGTCTATAACTCTCTCTCTCTCAAATTTTTAAAAAGTTCATGGAAAAAGAGTATCATAGAAAAATGATGCATGAATTTAAAAACTTTTTGGCACCAAAATAAACGTATCTTTTAATTCCATTTCCACAAACTTTTTCAAGTAGCTTGTATGTTGGAACTTAAATCCCAATGTGATAGAATTACAAGGCCCAGCTGTTAGGGGTCAATTACACATCATGAGGATGGAGCCCTTGGGGGGGATTAGCAAATGTATAAAAGGAGTGGCATGAACTAGCTAGTTCCTTTTGCTCCCTCACCAGGTGAGGAGAAAGTCTCATCCCCTCTGGAAGGTGCAGTAACAAGGCACCATCTTGGAAACAGAGAGAAGCCCTCACCAGACACAGAAACTGCCAGCACCTTGACCCTGGAGCCCCAGCCTCCAGAACTGAGAGCAGTGAATCTCTATGAATTGCTCAGTCTCAAGAACTTTGCTATAGCAGCATTCATGCACTAAGACAGTAGGTGAGGCACTTAAAAAATATTGGGTGGGGGGAGAAGTTGGCGCCATGGCTCACTTGGTTAATCCTCCACCTGCGGCGCTGGCATCCCATATGGGTGCCAGGTTCTAGTCCCAATTGCTCCTCTTCCAGTCCAGCTCTCTGCTGTGGCCTGGGAAAGCAGTGGAGGATGGCCCAAGGGCTTGGGCCCCTGCACCCGCATAGGAGATCAGGAGGATGTGCCTTGCTCCTGGCTTCAGATCGGCGCAGCGCCGGCCGTAGCAGCCATTTGGGGGGTGAACCAATGGAAGGAAGACCTTTCTCTCTGTCTCTCTCTCTCACTATCTATATTTCTACCTTTCAAATCAATTTTAAAAAATTAAAAAAAGAATATTGGGGAAAAAAACTTGAAAAGAGAAAATAGCTACTTTTAAAATGCCAATAGAGCTTGAGCTATTTTTTTCCCCAATCTTTTTAAACACTACTGAAAGTCAGCTCATAATACAGGACTGCTCAAAGATGGGAGCTGTGAAATACAGCAATGGGTCAAAAGATTCTGAAAGTGTCAAGCAGAATATTTTTATTTTGTAATGTTAAATAACACCCCCTTGTTGCAAACACAAAGGTGGGGCAGAGGAAGACCCACCACTCTTCACCCCCTCTCCAGGGATGTATCCCTGTTTTGAGTACTTAGGACAACCTCCAACAATGCCACATGTTCGTAGGCGATGACGGGGAGGTAAGGGCAGCTTGCGTGCACCTCCTCCCTACGTGCTTTGGTGTAAACATTCGTGATGTTTGCATGTCATCATAGAAAAGTTACAAAGCCACAGAGAGGTGAATTGGCCAACCTCTCGTCGTGTCTCAAGCCCCTGTGCAATGTCAACATTTGGTCTCGGCCTCTTTTTGGTCCGGTACCAATTGATGGAACAGCACTGACACTTTGGAAGTTGCGTGTGAGGAAGAAGCTGAGTAGGAGGTGAGCCAGGGGTGGCAAGAAGAAAGTCTGGGTGTCCAGAGAGCAAGGAAGCTGGGGAAGTCTGAGCTGCCTGCTATTGTCTTCCCACTTTGGATTTGCCTGAGTTTCTGGTGATGCAATTAAGGCCACAAACCTCAGCCTTCTGGTTCCAATATCCAGCTCCAGGTGCTCGGCCTCACAGAACTAGCCTGTCATCCATGTCCCTGCTATGAAAAAAAGGCTAGTTGCCCTCAGAATCCTCCTAGAAGATCTTGCTCTTTAGAAAACAACCTTTCTAACCTACCTGCTGGCTGTCCCCTCAACAAACTTTCCAGTGTAACCCTAAGGGGGTTCAGTGTATTTGCGAATGTGAGCATTTCACCTCGTCCTACTCCGAGGTGATCAAAAGCTGCACTTTTATATCCTTGATGGGCTTTGTTGCCATCACTTGCAGAGTTTTTCCAGCTCTTCACCTTAGTCTGTGGGGTGTGAAGGTACCAGGAAAAGGCTTCCAGGCAGTAATCTTGCTGCCCCTGATGTTGGAGCTGAGTACAACGCTGGAAAACTTGAAACATGGGTCTGGGAAAGGTCTCTGGAGAAGCCTCAAAGTATCCTTAAGGGCAGTGTGTGTGGCTGCTGTGGTCACCAGGTAGCGTGGCAGACTCAGCACCGGCTCCCAGCAGGACAACCCCTTCCCCGTGAAGCACAAAGAGAGGATGCTCCCAAGCTTGAACCTACCTCGCTCTGAGGGCTAGGAGAGCAGACACTTAGTCACTACCCATTTGTCACACTGCCAATGGCAAAGTTAGGGGTCCCCAGGGCAGGCAGGGGAGCATACTGTGGAAAGTCACTTTGAGAATATTTGTTAAGATAATGAGATTACACCTGTGTTGTGGTGCAAGTTAAGCTGCCCCTTGTGATACCAGCATCTAAATCGGAGTACCAGTTGGAGTCTCAGCAACTCTGGTTTCGATCTAGCTCCCTCCTAATGTGCCTGGAAAAGCAGTGGATGATGGCTCAAGTACATGGGTCCCTGTTGCCTCCATGCAAGACCAGGATGGAGTTCTGGGCTCCTGGCTTTGGTCTGGCCCAGCTCTGGTTCTTATGGCCATTTGGGGAAAGAACCAACAGATGAAAGATTTTCTCCCTTTTTTTGCCTCTCTCTGTGTCTCTGACATTCTATCTTTCAAATAAATAAATCTTTATTTTAAAAAAAAAAAGAATGTGATTGGGGCTGACGCCCTGGTGTAATGGGTAAAGCCATTGCCTGAAGTGCCAGCATCACATTTGGGTGCCAGTTCAAGTCCCACCTGCTCCACTTCCAATCTAGCTCTCTGTTAATATGCCTGGGAAAGCAGTGGAAGATGGCCTGAGTGCTTGGGCCCCTGCACCTGGCTCCTGGCTTTGGATCAGCCCAATTCTGGTGTTGTGGCCATTTGAGTAGTGAACCAGGAGATGGAAGATCTCTCTGTGTGTCTTTCCTCCTTTGTCTCTCTGAAACTCTGCCTTTCAAATAAATAAATAAATATTTAAAAAATAATCAAAAAGAATATGGGGGATGGTGCTGTGGTGCATCGGGTTAACACCCTGGCCTGAAGCGCCAGCATCCCATATGGGTGTCAGTTCGAGACCTGGCTGCTCCTCTTCCGAACCAGCTCTCTGCTATGACCTGGGAAAGCAGTGGAAGATGGCCCAAGCCCTTAGGCCCCTGCACCCATGTGGGAGATCCGGAAGAAGCTCCTGGCTCCTGGCTTCAGATTGGCGCAGCTCTGGCCATTGCAGCCAATTGGGGAGTGAACCCTCGAATGGAAGACCTCTCTCTCTCTGCCTCTCCTCTCTGTGTGTAACTCTGACTTTTGAATAAATAAAGAAATCTTTAAAAAAAAAAAAAAAGACTCCGCCTGCAGTGTCGGCATCCCATATGGGCGCCTGGTTCTAGTCCCGGTTGCTCCTCTTCCAGAACAGCTCTCTGCTGTGGTCCGGGAGTGCAGTGGAGGATGGCCCCAGTGCTTGGGTCCTGCACCCCATGGGAGACCAGGAGAGGTACCTGGCTCCTGGCTTCAGATCGGCACAGCGCCAGCCGTAGTGGCCATTTGGGGAGTGAACCAATGGAAGGAAGACCTTTTTCTCTGTCTGTCTCTCTCTCTCACTGTCTATAACTCTACCTGTCAAATTTTAAAAAAATGTGGTTAAACAGCAAAGTTAGAATCTGTATCCCTATACTCTGAGTTTCATAACATTTTGCTTTGT